CGAATACCGCTCTTCACGGACTTGGCCCTCATTAGCCCTCTCCTCTTTCTCCTTGCCTCAGCAAATCCAGCCCGTCTATCAGCTGTGGCCTGACCCCCATCCAATGGCTGCAGTGAGTCCAGCCCAAAAGCCTCAGCTGCAGGGAAATTCAGATCGATTCCGAGTGGGCCCACATAATCCGCGCACGTAGTAGGCCCACTATTGGACGCATGACAATCTCGTGTCTGTTCAGGCCCAATTGAATAGTAAAACTCATGCTGGGCCGTTGGATTGGGAATGTACGGATGCTGATTTGGCGTGATGACCCGATAATCCTCGGTTAGATCCGCTCCGAAATTAACCCTCCTTATTTCCAACCGGGACTCTTCTTTTATTGGGAATTTATTAATCATCTGTGTGATAAACTGATAATAGTTAAGAAAATGTAATTAAATTAAATGAACCATGAACTAAAAAACATGAATAACGAAAATGGATATACATTTACTACATTAAGAATTAGCTTAAATGCTTGATTACCTCCTCTTTAATTGCTTTTAGTTTAGAATTATAGGACTTCAAATTGCTGTAGAACTTTTTCACGTTTTCCACCTCCTGATGAGAAATTTATAATTAAAAAACAAAAATAAAATTCTAAATAGAAAATCAAGTAGAAAATGAGAAATTTATAATTAAAAAGCAAAAATAAAATTCTAAGAAGAAAATCAAGTTGACAAAAGAAGGTAAATTGCGTAGAGAGAAAGGATAAGATAATGAGAGCGAAAAATCAAGTTAATGAGGATTCTGTAAATATTCATTCCAAATTAACAAAAAACAATAAAATCTCATTCCAAATTACCNTAATCATTCGGAAACCTTGTTTGGAAAAATGTAGCTCACGGAAAAAAAAAATAAAAATAAAAATAAAAATAAAAAATAAAATGAGCTCGTGAGAGTCGAAAGGATTAGACTCTGCTTGATCTGAATAATCTCACTCGAGATAGATATGGTCAATGAGTATGGAAAATCGGCCTAGGACACTCGGGGACAAACTCTGAGGGTAAACCTAGGTAATTATTGTCCTAACGACTCTCATTTGGAAAAAACGACTCATTAAATAGAAATAATAAAAAAAAGGGAATTGGACTTTTGGGTTGGTTCTTATTGTTTCCTACATATTGAGTAAACCATTTATAGCTTTTTGCACGTGTATTTGTAAAAAGGAAGTTTGAATTAAGTAAATCATTTGTAGAATAACTTGGGACGAGTTTTTGTTTAGTTTGAACTCATTTTGTGGGGACCGTGTTTTCAAATTTGAGTTGAGTTTTATGGATAACCGGAGGAAGACGAGAGTTTCATTTTGCATGATTATTAACTTTGGACTTTTCGATCTTTCTTCTCGAATTGCTTTTTGTTTTGTTTGCTTGAGGACAAGCAAAGAGTTAAGTGTGGGGGAGTTGTTTGTACTATTTTTGTTATGTTTTTCGTTATTGTTTTGTNAGTTTCATTTTGCATGATTATTAACTTTGGACTTTTCGATCTTTCTTCTCGAATTGCTTGTTGTTTTGTTTGCTTGAGGACAAGCAAACAGTTAAGTGTGGGGGAGTTGTTTGTACTATTTTTGTTATGTTTTTCGTTATTGTTTTGTAATTCTTTTTCTCCTGTTTTAAGTCTTTTTGTTAGTTTTTAGTTAGTTTTGTGTTTTATTATGTATTTTGTTCCATTTTGGTTTTCTTTGTGTTTTTCGTGTATTTTTCCGGTTTTTCTTCGTTTTTGGTGTGCAGGTCGAAAGTCTCGTGAGGAGTCGACTATAGACCGGGCAATCATGGTGGACTTATTGGCTACACATAGGAAAAATCGGAATTTGATTTCGAGTTCGGATGAATCCGGACGGAACCAAAATGCGAAGCCGCGCAAGTTACCGACCCTTTTAAAAGGTGGAAATTCCACAAAATTTGTATCCTGTGCAAAAGTGTGGTTTTAAAGCATCATTGGATAGAAGGGTTTGTTAGCTAAGCGTAGGAAAAAACGGAACTCAATTCCGAGTTCGGACGAGCCAAAACGAGCCAAAAACGTAAAGCCGCGCAGTGCAGTCGCGAGAAGGCCGCGAGTTGGCAACGATTTTTCTCACTTTTCTTCACTTTTCTTCCTTTTTCTCCTTGGTAGATGATGGTTGTTGATGATAGTGTTGACAATGGTTGATAGTGTTGATATTGGTATGCTACTTATCATCTATAAATACCCACTTCATTCATCATCCAAACAATCTCCTAAAAATCCAAATTAATCACAATCCAAATTTATCACAATCCTTTAATCCTTCCATTACTTTCACTTAGTGTGTTAGTTCTTGTGTTGAATTTTGGAGGTGTTCTCAAAGGCTTGTACTTGTTCCGGTTTGGCGTGTATTTATTCTCAGTTTGGCGTTTGTATCAACTTTATTCATTAACTTGGATTACATGTAAGTTTTCTTTCTTGTAATTATAATTTGCAATGAATCTTATGTTGAGTTTATTTTTGATATGAATAGTTAAATCATTAGCTAGGGGTAGGGAATAATTATTCCGGTTTAAGCTCGTTTATACGCATGTTGATAATTCCATCTTGACGAGTTGTTTTAATCATGAATTAATAAATTAAACTTGGTAAATCTTTATAACCTAAGAGTGACACTTAGGTTAATTTTATGATATAATCAAAGAGTGACACTTTGATTTGTGCTTGATATTGATTTATTTAGTTAAAGTTTGTTAATTTTGTGAATTACAATTTGTAGAACCGAGAGGGGAGAAGTTGTAAAAAAATAATCTATTTCATAACCGAAAGGGGAGAAATTGATAGAACTTGGCTCGTTTAGAATAGACATGTTCAGAGACGTATTGTCTATGTGTTAATTGTTTCGTTAATTTGCTCGTTTATGTTTTTTTATATATTACGAGAGTTAGTATGGTTGAACTGCTAAATGAGTTAGTTAGTTGAACTACTTAACCGAGTTATTGATTGTCGTTGAATGAGTGTAAAACCGGAAGTGATTTATTCCCGATTCCCTAGCTTCTTTATTATTGTCTTGCTTATATTTTTAGGTAGATTATTATTGTTATTTCTTAGTTGATATTTTAGTTAATTATTATTCAATCCATTTTGATTAGAGTGTTTAGGATTTATTTTCATTATTTTCCGTAATAGACGTATAAGTTAATCGACATCAATATTAAATTCCGAACAGTCTTCCTCGAGAGATCGACCCGGGAAACGAATCATTTGATTCGGTGCTCGGTAAAAAGAAAATAATTTGTACACAACAAGATCCCAGACCACCCTCAGACCAGATCTCTGGAGGATATTCTTTCTGAGAGTCCTGGCCACCATTGCCCACATACCAGATATAGGGTCGCGTGGCGCTTGGCCAACCGACCCTTACTCCTCTCGGATAGACAGACGCAGCCTAGCCATGGGCAAATCCAGTTAGATGGCCCCCTTGACATTTGATAAGTCAGTCACATCCCTAACCTGGAATGCCTGTGGCCTGGCTAATATGGCCACCCTTGCTCACATTCGATCCCTAGTTCGTGACCATAGTATAGACTTTGTCGCTTTCCTAGAGCCCATGACCCATAACCTCTCTTTTGACTCATATTCTCGACACATTAGTTTCCACTCCGGAGTGGGAAACATATCTAACAAGATCTGGTTCTTTTATTCGTGAGACTTTACATGTCGGATCATTCGTGACACGGAACAGGTCCTGCACGTTGAGCTCTCTGTCGCACATCTCTCGGAACCAATCTTTCACACTCTGGTCTATGCCAGCTGTGCGAGGGTTGGTCGCTATGATCTGTGGGACACCATGCATGAGATTGCTGAGAGTATGGAGGATCACCATGGATGATTAGAGGTGATTTCATCATCTTTCTTCATCCCCATGAGCGCATTAGTGGCCAGTCGGACCGCTCTACGGAGATCTTAGATTTCTCCCAAGCTGTGGCAGATTGCGAGTTAATTGACGCAGGATACGAAGGTTCGCCATTCACGTGGAAGAGGACCGAAGTTAAGGAGAGGCTCGACCGTGCTTCGATCTCTGAGGCATGGACGAGGGTGTTTAAGGTCACGACCATCACACACCTCCCTTGAATTAAATCTGACCACGCTTCCCTTCTTATTCGGTGTCGATTTTCGAGCACCCCACGTCGCTCTTCATTTAGGTTCCAGAACATGTGGACCCGCCACCACACGTTCCATAATACGGTTAGTGCTTGTTGACCCCATCTGTCGGGGCTTTTTGGGATGTGTAACCTGGAGGCGAAGCTTGATAGATTGAGGTGCAGTTTGAAGCAATGGAATTGAATGGTATTTGGATATATTTCTCAGCACCTTGCTGCGGCTCAGAGTGCGTATGCGGTTGCTGAGCGAGCCTAAGATCTGGATTCATCACTAGAGAATAGGACCACGATGCGCCGTTGTCATGCTGAGTACCAGCTCTGTCTCCTTATGGAGGATGATTTCTGGAAGCAGAAGGCTGCGGTTCGCTGGGTTGCAGAGTGGGAACATAATACCAACTACTTTCAGAGGTTTGTGAGGCAGAAGCGGGTTAAGTCGTATATCCATTGTATTGAGGATAACGAGTCTTCCTTGACTCAGGAGTCCCAGATACGGGAGTCGACTGTGACACACTTCCAGTCACTTTTCACCTCAGATCGCGGCTTGCTTATTCCCCCCAACGCTTCTATTTTCCCCACCATCCCGCAGTCGGTCGACCATGTTGACCTCTGCCACCTCTCGAGTAGGGAGGAGATCAAGGAGGCTGTTTTTGGGATTGATCCCAACAGTGTCTCTGGCCCGGATGGCTTTTCGTCTCTCTTCTTTTAGGCCTTTTGGGAGATTGTGGAGACTGACGTCGAGGAAGCTATGGTGGACTTCTTCTCGGGACACCAAATGTCGAAGTCCTTCACAGCGACCTCTATTGTTTTGATATCGAAGAGACCTAACCCGAGTTCTTGGACCGACTATAGACCTATCAGCCTTTCTAATGTCACCAACAAGATCATATCCAAGATCCTTAATGGTCACCCTCCTCCCTTCCTTAGTCTCTCCGAACCAGAGTGGATTCATAAAGGATCGAGTCATCATTAATAACATCCTTTTGGCCCAGGAGATGATCCATGAAATCTCCCATGCGAACTGGTTAAGAGCACCGAACCTTGTGCTAAAGCTAGATATGACTAAAGCATATGATAGGGTCGAATGGCCGTTCCTCAGGGAGGTTCTGTTTCGGATGGGCTTCCCTGAGCGTTGGATTACTTTTGTGGAGGCGTGCGTGGAGCACTGCACGTTCTCGGTACTTCTTAATGGTAGCCCTACTGACTTTTTTTCCTTCCACCCGAGGTCTTCGGCAGCGAGACCCTCTATCCCCCTCTCTTTTCGTCCTGGCAGCAGATTACCTGTCTCGTTGCCTTGACGGCTTCATTTGCGACTTCCCGAGGATGACTATAGCACGCGTGGTTACGGTCCAACCATCTCGCACCTCTCTTATGCGGATGACATTATTATCTTCACTCGTGCAAATAATAATGGACTGGCTGAGCTCATGCGCCTCATGGGGCACTATAGCTCGGTATCCGGTTAACTTGTCAGTGTGCAAAAGAGCACGTTCACCCTATATCAGCATATTGCGGACCAGTGGGACCATTGGGTCCACGAGCGCATTGGCTTCCCGCGCGGAGATCTACCCATCACCTACCTTGGTGCCCCCTTGTACAAGGGCCACCTCACGCATGAGCTTTTTTCTGATGTTAGACAGAGGATGATTGATCGGATCTCTGGTTGGTCTCACAGACACCTATCTTTTGGGGGCCAGCTTGCTCTGATCAAGAGCACCCTTCCGCTTTACCTCCATACGGTTCTTGATCCCCACCAGTCTACTATCCATGAGCTAGATCAGATTCTGGTACGTTATTTTTGGGGGCATGGGGAGAGCTTCCGGAGAGGGAGACATGTCCATTAGGTTAAGTGGGACTCTGTCTGTCGACCCTTATCTGAGGGGGGGTCTCAGGATCCGGCGTTTCTCGGATGTCGTCACTGCATTTTCTTACAAAATGTGATGGCAATTTAGGGAGGGTAAGTCACTTTGGGCTCAATATCTTCGCCGGAAGTGTTGTCCTGGAGGCGCTGCCCATACTTGTAGAGTGACGGCCACCACCCGCGGTAGCAGGCAGTGGAGGCGGCTCACCATGGTTGGTAGACGTGCCCAGGAGCACATTTTTTGGACTCTGAGTGATGGGGAGGTTAGCTTTTCGGATGAGTGGTGGTTCGGTGAGGGTCCCTTTCGAGCACTAGACATGTCACCCACCTTCCCTTTCTACAGGTAAAGGATCTGTGGACGGAGGGGAGATGGAATAGGGATAGGCTAGAGAGGATTCTAGGTACTGGAGCGGGTTTTAGTGATAAGATGATAGATGAGATCCAGCAGATTCCCATCTCGGAGGACGGTTTAGACGGTATGAGGTGGAGTCCTCGGCTTGGGGGGAAGTACGGCAGCGTGACCGGCCTAACCTTCTCTTCAGGTCCATCTGGACCGACCTACTTACCCCTACCATCTATGTTTTTCTTTGACGCCTCCTTTTGCGCCAACTACCGATTGACACTGTGATACAGACGGGAGTGTTCTCCTTCCCCTCGCGTTGCTACTATTGTGTTGAGACCGGCGATTTTCAGACAGAGACCTTTACCCATCTGTTTTTAGAGAGCGAGACTGTAAGGAGAGTGTGGGAGCACTATATCAATTACACTCATATATCCCTACCCTCCACAGATACATTCTTTGAGCTCCTGAGTTTTTTCAGGCACCGCACACACATTAGACACGTGAGCTTCCTTATTCCTTGTCTGATCCTTTGGGCCACCTGGACAGAGAGGAATAATGCGAAGCATAGGGATAACCCTTTTTTGTCTTCCCATATTATTTTGCAGGTTGAGCGACATCTCTCTCTCCTCACAGCTTTGGGCAGACTCACCCAGAGAGACTAGACAGGATGCACGCCACCTCACCGCCTTCCACCACCTCCGCTAGTGTCTGTCCAGCATCCTCGTCCCAGAGTTGTTGTTTGGCTGAAACCCGAGTCGCCTTGGTTTAATCTAAACACAGATGGAGCCTTTGATCGACTTACTGGAGTTGTAGGAGGTGGGGGCCTGATTAGGGATCATAGCGGCGCCCTTATTGTCGCGTTTCATTCCCCTCTTCGGGCCTCATCGAGCTATGATGCAGAGGTTCAGGCGCTTCAGATCGGTCTTCAAATTGCTGTCTCGATCTCCTCTCACATTTGGATAGAGTTGGACGCGGCCGCTGTCATCACTCTTCTGTCATTTTACATGAAAATTTTCTTGTATTTTTATGGTGAGATAAAAAGGAGGGAAAAAAAAATTCCCTTCAAACCTCATCATGCCAGTCTTGACTAAAATCGCACCATGTAGTATAGCTTGACTTGAGAAAACAATTCTCATCAAAGCCACTTACTAATATCTCAACCCAAGAGCAAGCTTGACTTGAGAACACAATTCTTTACACGTCTAAGGGGCAATGAGTGAGAGGACAATTAGAAAACATTGAAAGCTGCCAAACCAAATGTTAAGGGTGTGTTTGTTTATAAAAAAATTCAATCCATATTCAATCCACACTTAAAATATAACTCAACTTTTATTCAACCCAACTAGTGATCGAATGCAGAAAAATATCCGGGCTGATCCTCCTCACCAGGCCCATAAACCTCATCCTCAGGCTCTCCTCCAGGCCCGTCTCGTCCATCAAGTCCTTGCCCCAGTACTTGCAGTTGACTACCAAGTCCTTGCCTTGTATTTGCAAGTTGCAACTAAGGAAAGTAAATAAATCAATTTAGATTCACAAGGATTATATCTTATAATGAAATATTTTCTATTTTATAATGAAATATTTTCTACCATTGGTCGCGATATTCCTNAAAAAAAAAAAAAAAAAAATTGTAGGAAGGTTTAATAAAAACATGCTGAAATTGAATGAAAAGGCAATTGTCCCCAAAAAAGGACATAGATTTGGTTACTAAATCTCAAAATTGTTTCTCAAAAAAGATAAATTTTCTTCGGAAAATGAGTTGAACCTCTAAAGCAGAAACCTTAACCAACACTGAGTACACCATTAGCGTACCTCAAAAATAAATATTGAAATTTGAGGGAGCTATTTTTTTTAATTTTTTTTTTTGGGTAGAAAAATATGATAAAAACACACTGAAATTGAACTAAAACGAAATTGACTTAATTACCCCCACCCCTAACAACTAACTACTCAATCACTTTATTCAAAATTCACTAAATTTAACAAATAAATCCAATATATTATTAACTCACTTTTCGCGAAATTCAGGTTCATAACTCACTCAAAAATTCAGGTTCGTGCATGACACACTCAAAAAGTGAACTTTTTTCGCGTAATTCAGTTGAACCTTAACAAACATCGAGTCCGCCATTAGTGTACCTTACAAAATGCGAAGCTCCGTGTGGGTACAGAGGATGGAGAAACCCGAAAAAGACGGATTTTTCCTTGATTTTAAATTTTATGATCAGTAAAGGAAGAGAAAAGGCAAAGGTCACCCAATTGAGCGTTGACTACATTACGCGCGACTATGAATGCTACTCTTCAAAACTTACTCAATTGAGCGTTGGCTACATTCATACTCGTGACTATGAATGATACTCTCCAGATACACACTTTTGACATTTTTGCTCTTAATTTCTAGGCTCCAAGAATTTTTCAAGAATAGACAATAAAAATTAAAACAAGAAAAAGGGATATCATTTCTCTCTCTCTCTCTCTCTTTTTTTTTTTTCTTTTTTGTCGGAACGATAAGAATTTTATAACTAGAACACATATTTACAACTAGACGACGGCCAGAAGCCGAATTTAGTGGGAAGACATCCGAGAAGGAGCCTAAACACCACAAAATAATAATATTAAAACTATTACTAACTCCCTACAGGAGAATTTAGATCTCAAAGTGATAATAAAACACAAAAAACAACACAAAAACACAGAAAAACACACTAAGACCATACAACACAAAACACCAAATACCAAACAACACAAAATACTATACTAAAGCCCTGGACAACACACCAAGCAGACCACAACGACGACACCAACGGCCGACCACCAAATTGGACGGGACCAAGGTTTGGATTGCAAACTTAGAAACTGCAACACATGCATAACCGAATCTGAAACCCGAACTCCAACACCGCGTCCGGCAATCGACCCCAACCCTTCAACCAAAGGATAGCAGACACATCCCCAAACACACCACCACCGCTCCAAGCCCAACCCACACCACGAATCGGGCTCGTCACGCCGGCCGTCCTCCCTCCTCCCAACCACCATAGGAGAAGAAGACCCAAGGAAAAATCGACCACCTCCATGTTGACAACAACACCAGGCAACCGACACCACCACCTAACCCCGCAAAAGCACAACAGCCTGCCTCGCCTCGGCCATGGAATCTGGCGACCAACTCACCGAAAAGGCAGCAATGGAGTCGCGAGATCCCATCGTCACGGCCAACCGAGCTCCATCGACCGAGAAATTGGGCCTCGACAATAAAGGGGCCAAATTGTGTGGCCAGGTGTCGTCCTCCGTCAAGGTGCCCGACGGATCCACCGGGGAAGGCAGATCTGAAGAAATTCGAGGCGAGAAGAAATATACTAATTTTCGATGAATTCAATATTACATCGATCGTTATGAATTGACCAGCTAGTTATCTATGTGAACATTTATCGATTGCTGGAGATTCAGAATTTTGATCAACAATGTTGGTGTGTCATTCGGAAAATACAATGTGCTTAGCAAGCGGAACTTTGAACTACCACTATTGATTAAGTTAAAATCTATGATACTAAATAGGACATTGACCATCGACCCCCACTTGTAGGGGTGTAAACAAGCCAAGCTGAGTTTATAATCAAGCTCGAACTCAACTCGTTACCATTATTAACAAATCGAGTTCAAGACTTAATGAATCCAAATCGAGCTTTATTGAGCCAAGCTATAGAAAATGATTTGAAAATATATCTTTAACGAGCCAAGTCGAGTTCGGCTCGTCAACCAAACAAGATTTAAATGAACTTTAAATCACATATATTACATGTTTTCATCAAAGCTTCTTCACCTCAACACTTCTTGTTTTAAATGAGCTTTAAATCACATATAGTACATGTTTTCATCAAAGCGTCTTCACCTCAACACGCTCCTAACAGGACATGGAAAATATCACCCTCCCTTTCCAACTAATCAACAACCACTGGCACTTCTCCTCCACCACGAAATCTTGGTGGTACAAACCTGAGCCCTTCACCTTCCTTACGACTGAGTCCGTGCGCTCCTTCCCAAATGAGACCTGCCTGAATCCTGCCTGGACGTGCCGCCCGTGCCACTGCATCTGAGTCTCAAGCCACTCAACCCTCTCGGACCCTTCGCACGCCACGACATTCATATCTCTTTTCGTAACATCCCCTCGAACTGCATTCTCTTGGGCTTCCCACAGGGCATGCTTGTCGTCTCTACCATGTCGAATATTGCCAAGAAGTGAAAAAAAGCCTCCCGAAAACGTGCGGGAAACAGGGGATCCCCAGCACCGTACGCTCCGTCCACCACGCCGTGCACGAACACGTCGGGCCCGATTCCCCATATCAGCTCGAGAACTGCTGTTTTCGACCTGTCCGGAAGGTTCTTTCAGCGGTGCGAACAATTTACGGCCAAGAAATCGTCGGGCTCGACTCGGAGGTCGACCGTGCCAACCGACTCCCATTCCCGGGCGACGATGTTGGCGAACTCGAACGGGACCAGTGTTTTAAGACACGCATCGCGTTGCGTTTTGGTCCTTATATTGCGTAGCTTAAATAGCATAGTGCATTGCGTAAGCTATTCGAGCAGTTCACTTTTAATGCCAAAAATTATAATATATAATACCATACAAGTAAATAAATAATTGATATAGCCTTAAACCATAAACTTGGACATTAAATCAAAAAAACAACATTCAAATATTAGTTCATACAAACAACCCAAAGTCATAATCTTCAAAGTAAAGACTCAAAATCTAAAAATAATAGGTCTCATCCAATTGAATTTGGCTATCATCGTCAATACTATCAAAGTGTGGGAGATTTCCACTATCAAAGATCATTGGTCCAGTTTCACCAAATTATTGCATCTCCTCATCATCATGAATGTCAATAGGATCCTTGTTTTCACCTGCTACATGCAAATAGATTTTTTTTTTTTTTTGCATTCAATGGTTTTCTCCCCGTCTACTTTAAATCCATATTTCCAACCGATATCTTTATTTGTCGACATTTAAATTGAAAATTATGCTTGTTCACAAATCACAACCATAATTCAATATTGACAGTAATGACAAGTCACAACATAACACAACAATAATCTCTTTACTCTTCAATTATATTTGGATCCCATTTTCTTAGCCTTAATGATAAACAAACTATCAATTTAGTTTAATTCAAATTATAATAAAAAAAAGAGTTTAATGGCAAGGATTCAATGGCAAGGTTAATTAAAAACAGAGGTTAATTAAAACCATTCATGTGCTGCCTTATATATAGGAAAAATCGAAAACAACAACACCAAACTCAATTGATTCAATGACAAGGATTAACAAGTACATTCTAGTGTTCTCAGTCCAGGACCATACACACTCAATCCAACGCAGCAACACTCCCCATCAAGAAATAAACTTTTAAAATCCCATCAGTCCTCAAAACAGCAAGCTCAAGCACATTTATATCTCCCTCTATTAATTTCATAAATAATTATGCAAATTAAACAAAAAAATTATTGAAATATCATTTGTGAGTTGTCACACATTGATTCTATAGAGATAATGAGCATAGTATATAAGCTTAGTGGGCTACTCCTCCTATCACCAATTAGTTTTGGGATGGAACCTCACTAAAGTGCAACTAGGCTCACCCTCTTATGGTACGCTTTATCTGGTGGGACCGCACTCTCTTTCCCCGATTATATAAATCTAATATTGTATCAGAGCGGGCCTGTCCTAGGACCTGCAATGACTCTCTCTACCCGGCCTGCTCTGGGCTTGGGCTTATCTCTCTACCCGGCCTACTCTGTGGGCTTGGGCTTATGAAGGATTCACAAGTGAAGGGGCGTGTTGGAATATCACTTGTGAGTTGTCCCACATTAATTCTATAGGGAAAATGAGCTTAGTATATAAGTCTAGTGGGCTACCTCTCCTATCACCAATTGGTTCTGGGATGGAATCTCACTAAGGTGCAACTAGGTTCACCCTCTTATGGTGCGCTTCATCTGGTAGGACCACACCCTCTTCCCCAGATTATATAAATCTAATAAAAATCAAAATAATCAAGTGAAAGAAGAAGATGCCCAAATTCAATTTCAATTTCATAATATCCAATGAAACACAAAATGTTACCTTTGGAGTCGACGGAGGAGCAGGGGATGTCGGCTAGAGAGAGCCGAGGATTCGGAGATGTAGGATAGCGAGATCCGAGGAGCAGGGAATTGGAGTGCGCGAGATGCGAGATATTGTGAGACTGTGAAAGTGATAAGCAAGTTGGTTGTGAGGAGACTGAGGCGGCGGAGATCCTACTCTTGTCGGGTTGTACCGTTGTGGAGGCGTGTTGTGAATATTTTTACTGGAGTAGAATCAAAAGATTCGAACACTGGGTCGTGTCTCTCAAGGAAGGTTGGTCGGATTACTTTGCACATTTATTCAACCACAAATAAAAGAAAAAGAATTTCTAAACATTCTAATTCAGAGATCGGTTTTGATTTTAATTATGAACTACTACGAAAATTAAAATAAAGCAATAGAAATAGCAAGCAACAACGAAGGACAAGCAGGATTTGAGAACCTAAGGAGTCGGGGATATCCGTTTCGGTTCGAATTGCAGTTAACGGGAAAGTGATTGTTCGGTTAAGTGGTTTGAATAACCTGCTCGTTCAAGTACTCATCCTCAATAACTCTTCGTAAGAAGAAAACAAACTTGAACGATAAATTAACAAGTCATTTAACACCTAGGCAATATAGTTATGAACAAGCCTAGCTTATACGAGCCTGCTCCTCCCCTTTCAGTTCTAAGAGTCGATTAAGATAGACTAGAGAGAGGTTAAACGACTAATCAAATAGAATCACCAACATCATGCACGAATAAATCAAATTCAATTGAAACAATTGGAAGTTGAAGTGTCACCCTTCAACAATTCTTAATATTCAAGCTTAATAATTGAAAAACCCTTTTAAACGATCAACTCGTATAAGAAGAACAACCAACAAGCACCACAATCACAAACGAGTCAAAAACATTAATCCCATATCCCCTAGCAATAGGATTTAGCTACTCATAATCGAATTATCATCACAAACCACCATAATCAAAATGAACATATCCATGGATTAAATGAATAGAAAAACTTACGATTAAATGGAAATTGAATGATAAATCCGATAAACAAGATTAATCAAAAAGTAATAGCAAAATCCGAGTTCAAATCCTTGTTCTAGATGAAAAACTATGAACGAGAAAAGAAAAATCGAGTGAAAGAGAAGATGGTGTAGGGTTTTCTATTCTGGAGAGAAGATGCTCGATTAATGAGGTCCTGCATGCGTATTTATAGTCGCACGGCATCACGGCATTGAGCAGGGCACGCAGCGCGGAGGGGCAGGTCGCCGCGGCGCGGGAGGTTGACACGGGCGCGGAGGGGCGATGTGCCGCAGCGTGCGAGAAGCTGGGTGTTCTATACAGGCGTGTCGGGTGCCGCGGATCCTGCAACGGCGTGACGGGGCTTCACGGCGCGAGGTACGTGACTGGCGCGGCGTGGAGCGCGGGCTGGACTCTCTGAAGGGGTCGCGACGAGTGCCGCGGCGCGAGGCAGGCGCTGGGACCTGGGTCTGGTGCTTGGACCGCTTGCGCGACTTCACGTTTTGGAGTCGTTCAGGCTCGTATGGTATCGGAATTCGATTTTGCTTTTGTTTTTTTGTGTATTGCCAACGAAATGCTCTCTTTAATTGTGTTCACCCGGTCCATTTATCATGGGAAGTAATTCGCCCGGAACCTTCCAACCTGCACACCAACGACGACAAAAAATCGGTAAACGACCGAAAAACACAAGAAAGACCAAACTAGAGCAAACCACGAAATAAACTACAAAACGAACTAAAAGAATTAATATGGGAGAAAAAGAAAAGCAAAAAGACAACGAAAAACTCAACAAAAATGGGACAAACAAGGCGTGGAGCCGTGGAGGTGGCAGGGAAGGATCAAGAGGCTGGGGTGGTGGAACCAGTGAGAAGATGAAGAAGTGAAATTGTGAAATAAGGGTTACGTGACTGAACCCCTGGAGCTGTCTTTGATTTTGTTTTTTTTATTTCTTTTTAATTTTTTATTATGTGCCTATAAAATTGAAAAATAAGGGCCAAATAGCGTGAGCAATACACGTTATTGCGTAAATAGCGTCCGAAATCGCGAGAAAAGCGTGCCACGCCATAAAAAGCGTACGCATTTTATGAATTACGCGAATTTTTAAACGCTATAGGCGTTTTGGGGGCAAAAGTGCGCTATTGAGCGCTACATAGCGCGCGAAAATGCGCTTTTTAAAACACTGATAAGAAGCCAAGGGTCCACGCGTAGCGGGCCAGCCGTCGGCCCATCTCCTACATCATCTCTACGGGCTGGGGGCCTAGACAGAGAAAGTCGACGTTGGTGATGTGGAGCCTCGGGGGCCCACTGGGCCGAAGGGCCAAGTGCCGGATGAAGGTAGGTCATTGGAACCTGTGGAGGATGCCAAAGTCGATGACGTGGACCTAGGCCGAGCCCGCCAAATGGGCTGCGAGGAGCTTATTCGAGGTGAGGTTCGAGACTCTTCTAAAAGGGAAAAAGACGCGATGGACGTGTAGTAAGCCTCGAGGCAAGCGGGGATGGATATCAGGTCGCACGCGAGTGCTTTGTACACCTGGCCACCGGTCCCTGCCAGGCGGGCCTCAAGCCCGTCGACAAAGTAGTGGGCCAACCTTTCGGTCCAGTCGCCGTTGGGGGACGAGTGTTGTCTGATTTTAGTTAAGAGAGCAAACCGAGGCTCTATAGTCGCCAAGCGCCACTATTTGGATGCAGTTCGTCAAGAGGGTTGACCAGTCGATCGCCTCTTTTTTAACCTTGGGAGATTTACCGAGTCGGGCCCTACTCACCGCGCTTCTCGAGTTTTTGTTAGAATATCACTTGTGAGTTATCCCACATCATTTATACATGGGAAATAGGCCTAATTTATCAGTCGAGTGGGCTACTCCTCCTTCCACTAATTGGTTTTGGGATGGAACTTCACTTGGGTTTCATCTGGGCTCACCCTGCCTTGGTGCGCTTCATCTACGTGGGACCGCACCCGTTTTACCCCCCGATTCTTACATGGTATCAGAGCCGGTTCTACGTGTGTTTATTGTGTTTTTATGCTTATTTTCGTGTGTTTTATGTGCTTTAGTTTAGTCTTTTTAGGTTCATTTTAGTGTCGACCGGTCCATTTTATCTTGTTTCGTGCGTTTTTATTCTCGTATTGTGTTTTTGTGGTTCGGCGTATTTTTCTTGTCTTTTTGGTATTGATTAGGTCCATTTTTGCCGCACTTGGGAAAATGAACCGTCCGACCGAGCCACATGAGCCGTCTCGGGCCATAACTGTGTCTGGACCCGCGCACTTGGCCGAGCCGCGCGCACAACCTGCACGCCCAGCAGACCGCAAGTGTCCCTTGCCCCTCGCCCAGGTCGTGAGCCTTAGTTCCGCGTGCGGGAACGGCCGTGTGCCCGCGAGTCCCCATCTGCGCGCCGCGCCAGCCCGCGTGTGTTCTTGTCCGCGCCCGCGAAATCCATCCCAGTCGCTAGTTCCTCAGCTCCAGCCCCAACGTCGCCTGCGAGTTTTACAACCTGCGCCCGTGAATCCGTCCATGCCCGCAAGTCTGTCAGCCAGCGCCCAGTGCCGCGAGTTTCTTCCTTCACGCGCGCGAACACCCCTTACCTTACGAGTTCCCTCATGCGCGCCCTGCCTGCAAAACTCCACCCACGCCCGCGAAGCTCCCCAAAGCTGCGAGTCCAGCGTCCATGCCTGCCTAGCCCGCGGACGGAGCTCGCAAAATACGAGCCAAAATTTGCGAGTTCGAGCTTACCTGCGAGTTTTACTCATTAAATGTGTGTGTGTTTTAGTGTGTTTGAGGTGTAGCTATAAATAAAGTTGATGCTTTGTAATTTTGGAATAATCCCTCATTTGCTAAAATTTTCCTTTTAGTTTTTCTCTCCTCCTTCTCTCTAGTTTTCTTTCTCTCTCTAAGGGCTCTAAGACCCTATTTTTATTGTAATATTTCTCTATCAAGATTGCAACTTTCTGGCTTACTTCTTCTCGTGGATGCACTAGGGACTTGGAGACTTCGTTTAAGGTCCGATTGGAGACTTAGTTGCAGGTCCAAGATCTCGTGAGTCTTGTCTTGTCTTTATTTATTGAATTCATTCCAGGGTAAATGTAGGAGTTTTCATGAGTCGGTTATGCTATCATCCTCGTAGGCTAGGGATTATGTGATTGTGTTATTGATTGCGTTAGCTTAATTGCATGAGCGAGAATTGATTGAGAGATCGATTGGTTGATCACGTGTGACGATTGCTTGATTACATGTTCTCGAATCTATGAATGCCTTCTTTCCATCTCGGGTCTAGGTTTACCTTGTTATTTTTCTCTCTATTTTTCTTTTTCGTGCAATTTGAGGACTTGCTTGCGATAAAATTTCCATCTTGCTTCGTTCTATTTCACAGTTGCGATCTTTAGCTTAATCCAACCACCAAAATGCAAGTAGAATGCTTAGGACTGTTTATTTTTCTTTCGTGTGAGTCAATCGTTGCTTGAATCCGTGTCCGAATAGCCTTCCTTTGAGAAAGACCCAAGTCTGGGTAGCTCGGTTACCACTTATCCAAAAATACTACAAACAACATGGGACCATTCAATGACGTACTCGTCACCCAGCCCAGTTGGGCTTCGGCTTCTGGCTCCATATATGGGCTTGGTCTTTCGTATGAAGGACTCGTAAGTGATGGAGCATGTTAGACTATCACTTGTGAGTTATCCTACATCATTTATACATGGGAAATAGGCCTAACTTATAAGTCTAGTGAGCTACTCCTCCTTCCACCAATTGGATTTGGGATGAAATTTCACTTGGGCTTCATCTGGGCTCACCCTGTCATGGTTCGCTTCATCTACATGGGATTGCACCCATTTTACCCCCTGATTATTACAGTTTTGCATGTCTTTCGAGTTAAGATCGTCGAGCGTAGAGACCTAGACGTTGTCGAATTCTTCTATAGGGATTTCTGACTCCGTAAAAACCGGAGCATTCTTGGTAGTTCTTCCTCGATATTTGTAATCCTCGCCCAGTTTGACCACTTTATTTTCACCTTCCAAAGGATTTCGAATCGTGGCGCTGATAATGTACAACATTTTACCTTCCCTCGGGACGAAATTAGCCGCGCGCGCGACCCTTTCTTTAAAATCCCAAACCACTTCACTCCCTCCAAAAGATTGCCTATGCAATCCACTCGAAGGGCAAATGGAGATGTCGGATGGAACAATGTGATCCATGAAACCATCAAACGGACCCGTGGGAGTTTTAAACCGGCTTCCCGAACAACATCAATTAGATATCCGTTCGTCGAACTATGGTGATGATCGACACAAAGCTGCGACATTTCTTGCTGCAGGGAAGGGGGTATTTTTGTTCGAGCACCTTGTAGAAGGATCTCTCAGTTGCTTGAAAATCCAAAGACTCTTGGAGCATGTGGGCCCCGTCTTCTGTGTCCTCTTCTATGAGAATATGGTCAATGTAGCTCACTAGACTATAAGTTAGGCCTATTGATGTAGGGAAGCGTAAGAGTGGGAAAGATAAACGAGATACTCTCTCGATGAAACTCACAAGAGTCAATCAATTCTTATTATCAAAGTCACCACCAATAACAAAGAAGAATGAGTCTTTAAATAAGACTTTTAAAGCCCTAAACCTAACTTGTTCACCAATCTACTAAATAATAATAATAATAGGATTCGCCCTGGAATCCGACCCGTTCCCATTGGAGACGTCTCATGACAGGAATAGCCCAGTGTTTTTCCCGATCGAACACGAAGATTGAAGGTCACCCAACAACCCCGAAAGTAAACATAATCTCGGGCAAGGATGGAACATGCCTTCATACGCATAATCCACATAGTTGAATTAACACAAAACATACCACATCATTCGTAGCGGTCAAATCCATAACTACGGGCAAGCATCCCGATGTTGGGAGACTCCGTGATAGACAATCCGAAAATGGTCCACCTGTTATTGAGCCTCGGCTTCGGCTCCCAAAAATCATCGTTGGCCAAGATACTCCAAACATCTGGTTTCAACGACGGCATCCCCGTCAAAGGCTCAACTTCTGCGATGTCCCACGCAGGACCCATATTGCTGCAAAAATATGTCTCCGTCACCGGTGGCTCCTCATCGAAAATAGGCGGACCGTCGTACAATAATTCCTCATCTTCCTAAAAAATCGCACTCTGTTACCGCACATATTGGTCGTCGTGCGCAACAACGAGCTTAGTCTCGACGGGCGGAGGCGGCCACCCTCCAAAGGGATCCACCTCCGAGATGGTCTTCTTGTCGTCTGCATCGCCTGGCGGCGGTTGTGGAGATCGCCAACGGAGCACCCTGCTTGGAACACGACTTTCACTTCCTCCGTGAACTCCCCCGCGCACACCCCGATCGCCGGCGGCACGGTTCATCTGCAAATCCCAGACCACGTTGTTAAGCATCAAACGCAAATCTTCGATCCCCGTCGAAAGATCTGCAAACCAATCCGTGAAACGCATGTCCAACTGTTCAAATCGGTAGTCGATCTGTTGAAACCGATCGTTGAAGGTTGCATCACATCGTTTGTTTGCGGCATCTTGTCGTCCCGGCGGCATCGCGAATCGTACTGACTGCTGATACTAACTGATGTAGGGAAGCGTACGAGTGGGAAAAATAAACATGATACTCTCTCGATAAAACTCACAAGAGTCAATCAATTCTTATTATCAAATTCACCACCAATAACAAAGAAGAATGAGTCTTTAAATAAGACTTCTAAAGCCCTAAATCTAACTTGTTCACCAATCTACTAAATAATAATAATAATAATAATAATAATAATAATAATATTTATCTTGCATCACCTATTTCCAATTCCGAAATTTGCAGTTGGCTCTCGCCATATCGCCACTCCAATTCCCTGATCTTCGGCTCTCGCCACCCCCAAATTCCCTGCTCCTCGGCTCTTGCTACCCTACGTCCCCTGCTCCTTGCCTCTCGACTCCCGACTCCAAAGGTTTTTCATTAGAGATGATGAATTGCTTCATCCGAGCTTCAGTTGAAGATTTAGATTTTCTGTTTAATTAGCATGATCATTTATTGAAGTAATAGAATGAGATATAAATGATTGATTGGTTCTTGTTGTTTTGAGGATTGAATTTTTTTTTTATTTGATGATTTGGTTTGATAATTTAGTGAATGGGGCTTTGATTTAGTTTTGTGATTTGGTTCTTGCGTATATAAATGAATTTAGTGATTTGGTGAAATATAAATGATTTACTAGTTCTTATGTATATAAATGAATTTTTCTTTGATTTGGTGATTGGGCCTTTTTTTTTCTGTAGNGACAAGCGTAGCAGGTTAATTACATCACGCATTTTTTAGAGTTATTAGATATTTTGTTACCTTAGGATTTGATGTTATTTTCTATAGATTAGATATTTTGTTACCTTAGGATTTGATGTTATTTTCTATAGATTAGAGATCAAAATTTCTTAGGATTAGACTTTGATTTGTTCTGATATTGTGAACACCCCGATTTGCGCACAGGCCCCATTGACTGGTTCTTATTGTAGTTTCTGAAGAATATGCTGCTTTTGTTTCAGTAATCACTATGGAATATGGACTAAGGTTCAAATAATATTTCTAAACTAAATTGATAGTTTGTTTATCAGCTAAGAAAATGGGATCAGAGATTCATATATGACTAAGAGTGTTGTGATTACTTTTGATTACAGTCAAATATGCAATTGCAATTAGTGTTGTGATTTTGAACAAGCATGATGTGATTCGTGAACAAATAAATAAACTTTGTGTTAATGAATTTTTTTTTTTTTTCCATTTTCAGTTTAAATGAGGAAAATAGAGATATTGGCTGGAAATATGGATTTAAAGTAGACGGGAGAAAAGCCATTGGATGACACCTATTATTTTTAAATTTTTAAAATTTGAGTATTTACTTTAAACATTAAGATGACCTTGGTTGTTTGTAAGAATTAATATTTGAATGTTATTTCATAGATTTAATGTCTAAATTTATGTTTAAGATCATTTCAATTAGTTATTTACTTGTATGATTATATATATTATTATTTTTTGACATTAAAATTAAATTGTTCGAATAGCTTACGCAATGCGCTACGCTATTTTCGCTATGCAATATAAGAACCAAAACGCGACGCGATGTGCGATGCGCGCTTTAAAACACTGAGCTCAAGACGGATGATATCTGGCCTGAAGAAGGACACTTGGCCGTGGATCGAACGAAAACCATGGGATGAATTCAAGTGTTCATGATGAAACAGATCCATTTTCCCTAACAACTCAAATCAAGAAAAACAAAAACAAAAAAAAAAAACCATAAAAGTTATAATATAAATTAAATCAAACAAAAAGTAAAACTCAAGAACCAACCTTAGCTAAGACTGAATGCATAATTAGCATACCATAGAGACAGTTAAGGTCAAGGTCAAGATAGAGAAAGTAAGAGCATCTTCAATGTAGGGATGTCAATGTAAAATGTTCATGCCCATGTGTTTGTACATAATTGGATAACAGATCCCTAAATATCACCGTTGACAGTAGAAATACCAACAGCCGGGATGTCAATGTGAAATGTTCATGCCCATGTGTTTGTACATAATTGGATAACAGATCCCTTAAATATCACCGTTGACAGTAGAAATACCAACAGCCAATTACTTCGTCCAATGCACCACTTTCTTTCATACTGGATTCTGTTTGAGTAGCGGATAATGAAAACAATATATCCTTTGGAACTTGTTATTCTACATAAATACACCGGTTGAGAATGTTAAATGATAACCCTGGTATTAAAAAAATAATTAAGTAAATACAACGTAGTTTAATTTTTAATATATAAAAATTATAATACATTCAATGTTATTTTTATGTACATGTGAGTAAATACAAAATGGTTTAATTTTTGAAATATAAAAATTGTGTTGTTTTTATGTATCAAGTAAATACAAAATGGTTTAATTTTTAAAATATAAAAATCATGTTATTTTTGTGTATCAAGTAAATACAAATTTTGATACGTTAACGTAGTTTAATTTTAATTTTTAAAATATAAAAAATGTAATTACATTCAATGTTATTTTTATGTACATGTATCAAGTAAATACAAGATGGTTTAATTTTTGAAATATAAAAATTGTGTTATTTTTATGTATCAAGTAAATAGAAAATGGTTTAATTTTTAAAATTTAAAAATCGTGTTATTTTAGTGTATCAAGTAAATACAAATTTTGACACGTAGTTTAATTTTTAAAATATAAAAATTGTAATTACATTCAATGTTATTTTTATGTGCATGTATCATGTAAATAATGTAAATACAAAATGATTTAATTTTTAAAATATAAAAATTCTGATATTTTTATGTATCAAGTAAATATGGCTTAATTTTTAAAACATAAATCGTGTTATTTTCATGTATCAGATAAATAACCACGTTGCTTGTCGAATACACTGTTTGCCTTTAAATAGCGCGCTCAAAATATTCAACCAGAGTCCATTGGAGATAAAATTATGAAGACATTGTCTTCAATGATGACACGGACATTTATTTTTTTCCCGCATTGGAGATGCTCTAATGGATGTGTGAATGTTTGATATTTTATGTTTACCTTTGGGTAAAAATTGAGCACAAATACCTGAGACAGATTTCGAGGATCAAAGAGTTTTGATGACAAATATTGCAAGGGATTTGTTGTTTGAATAAGTTGGTTGATTTATGTTGAAAATGAGAAGATGCCCAATAGAGCAATGATTTTCATTCATGAAAATATGAGCCATTTGTGTTTTGTCTTTTGAATAAAGAATAAGAAATGTTGCAACCTAGACTGGAAAAAAGAACATCCGTAGAGTTATTATTATTAATTATTATTATTTTGATATTAAACTTTATTTTTTTTTTTAAATTTGCATTGAAGCAAATTAACAGTCACTATTAGGCAGTATACCTAACATTTGAAAATGTACATATTAAATGAAGATAACAGTACACGTAACATTTGAAAATTTTATTAAAGAAAAATAGATCTATCATTTTGATACTTGTTAATTTCTGTAAGATAGACAAAGTACAATAGTATTCAATGTTAATTAAACTAAGTGCAAAATTGACATCCTTCATTGCTCGCGATTAACTGAACTAGTCCCGATTAGTTTTAGATCCTAACTATGCCCCTGTAAGTGTGTGCAGATTATGAGTATTAGGTTGTATTATAGTACATGTTTTCATGAAAGCTTCTTGACCTCAACAGGCTCCCAACAGGACATGGAAAATAGCACCCTCCCTTTCCAACTCATCAACAGCCACTCGTTCTCCTCCTCCACCACGAAATCCCTGTGGTACGAAACCGAACCCTTCACCTTCCTCACGACCGAGCTCGACAGCTCTCTCCCGAACGAGACCTGCCTAAACCCCGCCTTAACGTGCCGCCCGTGCCACTGCCTCCGAGTTTCGGGCCAATCGACCCTCTCGGGCCCTTGGCACGCCACCACATTCATTATCTCCTTTCGAAACATCCCCTCGAACTGCATTCTCCCGGGCTTCCCACCGGGCATGCTCGTCGTCTCCACCATGTCGAATATTGCCGAGAAGTGAAAGAAAGCCTCCCGAAAACGAGCGGGAAACAGGGGACTCTCGGCGCCGTACGCTGCGTCCACCACGCCGTGCACGAACACGTCGGGCCTGATTCTCCGTATCAGCTCGAGGACCGCCGTTTTCGACCCGTCCCGAAGGTTCTTCCCGCGGTGAGAACACGTCACGGCTAAGAATTCGCCGGGCTCGACGCGAAAGTCGGCCATGCTAACCGACTCCCACTCCCGAGTGACGATGCCGGCAAACTCGAACGGGACACCGAAGGCCCGTGCGTAGCGGGCCAGCCGCTGGCCCGTCTCCTCCATCATCTCGGAGGGCCGGGGGCCTGGCTTGGGGAAGTCGACGCCGGTAATCCGGAGCCTCGGGGGCCCACCTGGCCGAAGGGCCAAGCGTCGGATGAAGGTCGGCCACTGGAAGCCGTGGACGATGCCGAAGTCGATGACGTGGACACGGGCCGAGCCCGCCGACCGGGCCGCGAGGAGCTTGTTCGAGACGAGGTTCATGACTTTCCGGCACGGGAAAGACGCGATCGACGTGTAGTAAGCCTTGAGGCAGGCGGGTGCAGAGATTCGGTCGCACGCGAATAATTTGTACACTTGGGCGCCGGTCCCCGCCAGGCGGGCCTCGAGCCCGTCGGCAAAGTAGTGGGCCAGCCTCTCTGCCCAGTCGCCGTTAGGGGACGAGTGCCGTCTGATTTCAGTTAGTAGAGTAGCCGCGGCTCGACGGTCGCCAGAATGCACCATTTGTGCGCATTTCGTCAACAGCGTCGACCAGTCGATTGCCTCTTTCTTAACCTTGTGAGACTTACCGAGTCGGGCCTTACTGACCGCGCTTCTCGGGTTTTGCATGTCTTTCGAGTAACGGTCGTCGAGCGTGGAGAGCAAGAGCTTGTCGAAATCTTCTATCGGGATGTCGGACTCCGTAAAAACAGGGGGATTCTTGGTGGTTCTCGCTCGATCTTCGCCCGGTTTGACCGCTTTTTTTTCACCTTCCAAAGGATTTTGAATCGTGACTCCGATAATGTGCAACATCTTGCCTTCCCTCGGGATGGAATTAGCCACGCGCGCGACCCCTTCTTTAAAATCCCAAACCACTTCACTCCCGATAAAAGATCGTCTATACAATCCACTTGACGGGCAAATGGAGAAGTCCGACGGAACAATGTGATCAGTGAGACCGTCAAACTTGGGAGTTTTGAACCGGCTTTCACGGACGACATCAATTAGATATCCGGTCATCAAACTATGGTGATGATCGGCATAAAGCTGCGGAGAAGGGGGGTATCTTTTTCCGAGCACCTCGTAGAAGGATCTCTCGGTCGCCTGAAAATCTGACGACTCTGGGAGAGTGTGGGCCCCATCATCGGTGTCCTCTTCCATGAGAATCTGGTCAATGTATCTCAAGGCGGCATCCGACATATCACAACCGTTTCGACTGTCGTATATGTGGCCTGAAGAAGGAAACGATGACTCGTTGTCGAGCGCTCGGTCAGGAAATTCGGCTTTGGATCGGACAACCGAAAANATGCGCCGGGCTCTTATGAAAATAATCCTCACAAAAATTAAGTCTCTATTGCTCCTCCGAGGCTTGTACTCCTAACAGTCTTTCAAATTTACATATTTCTTCAATTGCAATTGGATATTCTTCCAAGCTATGGGCCTTAATCCATTATTTATGTCAAAAGAACCTCAAAAGTTACAATATAAATCAAATCAAACTAAAAGTAAAAACTCAAGGTGCAGCCTTAGCTAATTATATGGAGGTGGGAATGTGTGACATTTTATGTTTACCTTTGGTTTGAATAAATTGAGCCATAAAAGCTGTGACAGGATTTGGATGATCCAAAGGTTTTGATGACAGAATATTGAAGAGGATTTGTTCTATGAATAAGTTCGTTGATTTATGAAATAAGAAGATGCCGATAGACTAATGATTTTTCATTCACCAAAATATTAGCCATGTGTTTTTTGTCCTTTTTGCAACAGAGACCAAGAAAAATGAAACAACAGTAAAATTACCTATTAGGCGGTTCTAGTGGTGTTAGGCATGTGGAATTTAAGATCCGGATCACTTGGTCTACAGCTTCAGCCGCAGTGGGTACAATCAGAATGCTTCCCCCAAAAAAAAATTACAACAGCAATTACGAACAGCAATTCAAAAAAAATAAAAATAAAAATTAAAAATTCAAAAATGATGTACTAGTCTCTTGTTTAAACCTCTTGATTAAGCAAAGATTTTGAAAAATATTGTGAGCCTTTATATTGAAATTGAAATTCATCATGCTCATAAGTAGGCTCATACGATCGAGAATATTGGGGATTTTCATAAAACGAGTTTCCACGATCACCACTAGGACAGTCTTCAGAAATTTGGAGGCCCCAGACAATTTTTTCAAGAGTGGCCCGCAATTATATTTTTATATTTTTATTTTTTTATTTGAACAAATAATAACAAGCATTGTCAATAATAAATACAAAAAATACGATGAATATGAAAAAGATAAGTAAATTAAAATATAAAAACTTTTTAAATTAAAAAATTAATGATTACTAAACATGTATATTAATATAATTTATTTTCATTTACTCACTTATTAATAACAAATAGTTCTTATTTGTTTATCTATAATTAATTATTAACTCCCTTATTAATAACAGATAGTTCTTATTTGTTTATTTATAATTAATTATTATTTTTATATAAAGCAAGATAAACTAATTGAAATGAAATTAGTGTGTAAATGAAAGTGTAAATGGAATTTGGGCCCACCCAACATGATAAAATATAGATAGAAGTGTAAATGTATGTAAATGGAATTTGGGCCCAGCCAACAGAATAAAAAACCAGCCCAACACAAAGTATATATATATATATGATCTGGTTCAAATGAGAACTAAGTCTTAATGTGAGAACCGTGAGAACCGCTATTTTTAATTGTGCGTAGTGCTATGATTGATTGTGTTTGGTGCTATTTTTAACCAGGTTGAATTATATTAAAATTAGCAACACAATTTCTGTTAGTATTTGTAAAGATGATAGCATCATCTAATATGAAAAATAGCACCATACACAATTAAAAATAGCATCAAATACGGTTCTCACGGTTCTCACACCAGGACTAGTTTTTATTTGAACCTACCCCTATATATATATATATATATATAAGGAGGCCCCTAAAAAATTGTGACCCTAGGCTCCTGCCTGGTCTGCCTGGCCCAAGAGCCGACTCTGATCACCACAATCGCATTGGTTCCCATCGAAATTTGAATACGCTCAATAGTCTCGTTAGTACTAATTTCTCTTGATAGCTCTGTGTTCACCATACATCTCGAACAAAAGTGGGCAATCTTCGGTGACGTGTCGTGTGGTATGACATATACGACATGGTCTCTGCGGAACTTGACGAACACTAGCCTCACTATCATCGTGCCATGAGTCTCTTGTTCCTCGACTCCTTCCATAATAAGAATCGTAAGCATAAATACAATCTGAGCTCCAATACGCATCCATTTATAACGAATACCACCTGCAAAATAAAATAAAGAATAAAGGGATTAAAAGAGTCGAAGAAAAAAAATAAAAAAATACTAATCTAATTACCTAATTTAACTAAAAAATCACAATTCAATTGCTCCACTCCTCGACAACGGCGTCAAAATTTGATCACGTGTTAAAACACACAAAATTTAAATTAATAAAGTTTTGTTCAACAAACATCTACTAACTAGTAGTAACGACAAACAAAGGTCTATCCCACAAAGAGTAGAAATTAAGTAGTGACTATTCTCGTATTAATTGAATTAAAACTAATAAAGTAATAAAAGATGGGGGATTGATTTTATAAAAATAAAAATAACAAAATAAAATAAAAATCAAATAAATTGAGAGAGGTCCAGTTATCACTCAGTCTAAATTTACCATTAATTAATTTCAACACCTTGCTAATGAATTATCAATTCTGTCTAACAACAACAAACTATGTTAACCAAAATTTTCCATACTGAATACTTAATCGTAATAAGTTATTCAACTAAACTTAACTATTGGACAACCCAAAATAAGTTCTATATATTTAATAGACTAGTAGCATTAATTCGTAGAAAAATATATTAGTTTAAGCAACGGACAGGAAAGTTCAAACCATTTAACTTATGCTCAGGCTACCTAGAGATGCACGACCTCTAGTTTACTACTAATAAAACGAGAGCAACAACAATTACAAACTAAAACCTCATCTTTAGCAAATAAGCTATGAATATTTAAAGCAGCCGACCATACTAAATTAATCATTCATAATTCATAAACATTATATAGATATAACATGAAACAAATCATTAACAAAAATAAATACAACATCTGAATTAACAACGATAAATAAAAATAATTTAATTAATAGAAAAATCAAAGTTATAGTGCAAACATTTCTTCAAACTGAATAAAAATTTTAATCCAATATACTAGTCCTAAAAAAGTAAAAAGAGAAGAAGATATTATTCTCCATTATGTGAAAGTGCGACTTCGTCAGAGCCGTGTGGCTCCTTCCTCTCTGTCCTTGNCTCTATTGCTCCTTCCCACAATTAAAAATTAAGTCACGCAAAAATGTTTTATGCGCCGGGCTCTTATGAAAATAATCCTCACAAAAATTAAGTCTCTATTGCTCCTCCGAGGCTTGTACTCCTAACAGTCTTTCAAATTTACATATTTCTTCAATTGCAATTGGATATTCTTCCAAGCTATGGGCCTTAATCCATTATTTATGTCAAAAGAACCTCAAAAGTTACAATATAAATCAAATCAAACTAAAAGTAAAAACTCAAGAGGCAACCTTGGCTAAAATGGAGGTGCGAATGTGTGATATTTTGTTTACCTTTCTATTTTAAATAAACTAGTACAGAGTCCGTGCGATGCACTGGGTGCACAATTTTAAGCCTATTTATCCAGGCTTATAATTATATATATGAATAAAGAAAAATGTATGGGATATATATAGTACGTGACCCGTGCGAAGCACACATGATATATTTATTTAGAGAATATTATATTATAAGATACAATATTCAATAAAAGTTTACAATACGCAAGAAAATTGTACAATGTTCAATAAAAGTTTTATAATATTCAAGTGGAGTCTTAAAGTCTCTTGTACATTAAGACTAAAGACAAAATAATATTTTAATCAATGAGTTTCCTTTCCTCGTAGCCAAATTGTGAATGTGATTTGAGGAGTACAACAAATCGATATATAATTGACTTGCTTCATTGTAGTTTTTTTTTTCTTTTTTTTTGTATAATGAATTTAAAGATATTCTAAAATATAGCAAAAATTAATTTTTTTTATTACAATTAAGAATTTTACTAAATATAAACTCTCGATCTATGGTGTTAATCAATGTTTAAGTCTAAAAAATTAGGAATTTTTACCTCTTTTAATCAACTACATCTTTTAAAACATTAAATATGAGCATGTTAGGGCTAGCTTGTAAAATAATTAATATATTATCTCAGTAAAATATTTATACTAATAAAAATTTAATTTTAGCATATAAATTTATCCCTTGATATAAGAGAAAGTAACAGTTTTACTTATTGTGTTCACCATATAATATTTAATTATTATTTTATTATATAATAAAAAAAGAATATTGTTAAATATTAGAATTGTTAAATAAGTCAAAGTGTACATTTTTATTTGGTATTTGATTTTTTTATTATTAAAATATTTTTATAATACTTATCTTTTTAAAATAAAACAAATAAATAAATCAATTAAATAAATAAAATATTATAATACCAAAATAGTAATAGCATTTAATGCAGTTGACTTTTTTGGATAGTAAATATAGTAAATAGAATCTCTTTTTATATAAATATAGATTGTATAATACGAAAATAGTAATGCAATAAATGCTGTTGAATTTTCTGACTTCTTAATTTGGTAAATAAAACTCCCTTTAATATAACTATAGATTGGGCACAAATAGCTATGACATATTTGGATGATCAAAAGGTTTTGATGACGGAATATTGAAGGGGATTTATTCTTTGAATAAGTTGGTTGATTTATTTATTTATTTNCATGGTTGATTTATATGTTGAACATAAAAAGATGGCCAGTAGAGTAATGATTTTCATTCATGAAAATGGAACCATTTGTGTTTTGTCCTTTTTGCAACATAGACTATGAAAAAAGAACCGTAAGTTACCTATTAGGCTAGTGGTGTTAGCCCTGTGGAATATAAGCACGTAAGTTATCTATTAGGTTAGTGGTCTCGGGATCACGTTTATAAATATAATGATATTTGATTGATTTTTTTTTTGTTGTTGTTAATTATTGTTAATTTTAAAAAAAATTGGTATAGTTAGTTGTGAGTTGAATTTTAAGTTCGTATTAATATAATATTTAAAATATATAATTAAAATTGATTTGATGTAAAAGTATGAAATAAATGTAAATGATAAGTAGTAAAAATTATGTGACTGGATAAATAGTAAATTAAAGTTTGTGTGATGTGTAAAGATGATTGATATAAATATTATTTAATCATATTGAGGATAGTTGATGGAGATAAGGATCTTTTGAATCTTTAATTTAATTATTTGTTTCCCTCTTTATTATTATGATTATGATTATTAGTGGTATTCTAGATTTGTTAGAAAACTTATTTATTTATTATTTTGTTAGGAT